CAGAGGGACGACCGTAGGAAATGATGTTTTTATAAAAAGGAACCATAGGGCAATGCCTTGTGCTGGAAAAGCACAAAGAGGGCTTGGCGAGCAGCCTGTTAAGGACAAGTGAGACCCTGAGGAGCCCAGAGTCAGAGTGGACCACAAGCGGGCCATGAGTCAGCCAGTGGAATAACCGCCTTTTAAAAACACAGAATGGAGTAGAGTCATGAGCTTCGGAGAGAAGCAGAAAGTGGATTCTAGTCAACAGCCTGGACTCAAACCCTAGCCCCGTGTGGAGCATCTCTGAGTCTCAGGAACCTCTTCTCCAAACTGGGAGTGATCACGGTACCTATTTCACAGATCAAGCATCTTAATGTAACAAGCACCATTTAATTGCTAGCGACTGTTACCAGGAGAGAAAGAGTGCAGGTAGCAAGCGCAAGATATATTCTTAGCTCTCAGCAAAGTAGGTTATGGTATAAAAATACCGTTCAATAGTAACTAAACTAGCCTCACCTTCATGTGCATCTCACAGCAGCCTCAACATGTGCGACTTCTTCTCCAAATATCCTACATTAGGCATCTGGACTCCAACCCTGGGGCCTGGCGCAGCAGGCAGAAGCCACTGGCAGGTTCACTCACCCCTTCCTCACGCGTGCAGGAAAGTCCACCGTGGGCAGGGCCAGACACCCACCCGCCTTTGGGTCAGATGGTGCCCGGTGACCCGGGAAGACAGAAGCAGGGAGGCGAGGTGGGGGAGGAGCAGGAAGTGGCATGAGAACCTCCCCAGGGGAGCGGCCAGGGGGATGAGCTCTGGGGCCATCAGAGGAAGGGGGAACAGCACTGGCAAAGGTCCTGGGGCAGGAAGTACCCGACGTGCTTAAGGGCGGGAGAAAGCAAACACAGTGACTCCTCCTCCACCCGAATCCTCTCTTCCCTGGCAACCAGGCTTTGGAGCTCAGGAGGCTCACCGTCGATTTGCTCTGAATTTCCTGAGTTTATCTATTAACCACCAAGCAGGCTGGTGGCTAGTGGAGAGGACGTCAAGAAAGCACAGAAAGTGGATGGTGATGATTCTCCCGCTGAGAGGTCACACCCCAGGACAAGACCTTCTCTCCCCCAACTGGGGCACACTGGATAGTCAAGGACACACCAAGGTCAGCTCGGGGCCTGCCTGAGGTTCGGGGGAAGCTGGGAAGGATAGGGGCGCCCTGGACTGGGAGTGGGGGCCTTCCTTGCTGACGGGGGCAAATTGTTCACTCCCTCTGAGCTGCAGTTCTGTGTCTATAAAATGGGGAGGGGGAGTATGGGGGTGGTTCCCGAGCAACTCGAATCAAATAAAATCAGGCGTTCAAAGTACTGTGCCACTCACTTAGAGGTTATTACAATGGGGCTCACCTTCTCTCAAGGGGAGGGGTCCATGAACCCCTGAATTACATCCCAAGCCATGTGGGAGCTGCTTTCTCCTGGAGAGGAGGATCACTCAGATTTTAAAGGGGATGACTCCCCAGAGTCTAAGCTCCGGGAGCCTGAACACAAAATGCACAAAATTCCTACCCAACAAACAGCCAGACAAGGAGGTCAGCACCGAGCCCAGGAAAGGGGCTGTGGGGGAGTGGGCCCAGGGGAGACACGGAGAATGTCCAGACCCCCACTGGCATGCCCACCACCAGAGACAAACTCTGAGGAGAGCCTCGCCCCTGGGCACCAGCAAACCCACAGTGGGACTGGAAGAAACACTGGCAACACGGAGATTGCCACGAGGAGATGAACACGACCTACTGCAGGTACTACGGTCACTATACAGAGCAGCAGCGAAAGGTCAGTGTCCCCACACACAGACGCCAGAAGACTAAGCTGAGGGAAAGCGCAAGTTTCCACATTTTTATATAAAGTTAAAAAGAAAACACCCCCAAAGATCCGGTATGTTAGTTGCGAATCTATCTGTGTGCAAATGAACCAAGAGTCTAAAAGGATAAATCTGAACACATCACAGTTGTTGGCAGAGAATGGTTACTTAACATTTCTTGGTAAGGCTTTATTTCTGATGATTTTTTTAAAAAAGAACTCTAAAGGACAGGGAGGCCTGGTGTGTTGCAGTCCATGGGGTCACAAAGAGTCCGACACGACTGAGCGACTGAGACACGACTGAGCGACTGAACTGAACTGAAAGCCAAAATGACAAAAGAAGAAACAGTTTCCAATTCCAGGTAGAAGAGATATAAGTGTTTATTTTATTACTCCTGGAAGTTCTTTCCGTTAAAAGAAAAAATCTATCCAATATGAAACATTTCTAAACCATGTTGCTGGCCAGTTCAGTGTTGGGCTGAGCGTTCAGCAGCCCTGATCTGTAACTGTTTGTAACTTAAAGCCAAAGTTAAGGCTCTCTACCTCTATGCTGGTGCTGGAGAGCCGTGCCCTGGCCAGGCAAGGAAGGACAGAACCCCAGAAAACAGCTTTTCCTGGCCCTTGAACCCAAAGCCCAGGTCCCCAAGCGACGATCCCACACAGAGACAGCAGCAGGCTGGGCGAGGGATGGTGGGGACGAGGTAGAGAAGGGACAGGGCAGGAAGGGGACAGGCCAGTGGCCATGTCACGCGAGCAGCTGTGGGCCTGTGGCCCGGCCCTTCCCGGGCAGGGAGCTCAGTGTCGCCTGACTGGTGCCAGGGGCTGCAGCTTTAAATAAACTTGGACTCATCCACCTGGACCAGGAAGCAATACCAACTGTGCGTCGGGCAGGCCAGGCATTGTCAACAACCGCCTACATGGCCACTGAGGACCCCAGCCTTGGGCCGAGGCGGTGGCCCCAGTGCCGGACCCTCCCTCCTGACCCCTGCCCCACTGCAGCTCCCCCTGCACTGGTCCAGCCTCCTCCCCACCCAGAGGGGCTATGAGAGACCCCTGGGCATCCTTCAGAGGGCCTGGTGCCTGGAGGCTCTGCCACGGGGCGCTGGGCCAGCCCAAGAGATGGAGTACCTTCCTCTCCTCTCCCAGGCCCCTGGTCCCCCTCAACAGCTATGCTTCCTCACCTACTCATGCCTCAAGCCCCCGGCTCTCTTTCCGCAACGGCTCACACTCCTGCTGACAGGAGAGGAGCCTGGCTTCCACTACAGGGTCTACCACCACCCCCCACACCCTCCCCGAGGGCAATCCCAAGGACCTCCATCCCCCAGTGTGGGTGTGGATGGCAGCAGCCAGGACAACCAGTTGTGGCCACTGGAACTAGAGGCCTGGGGTTGGGACAACCACCCTGCTGGGCCGCTGGCCCAAAGAGGTTCACAGAAAAGTGAAGGAGCGGTCAGTGGAGCCAGCTTCGGGCCGAGGAGATGGGGTGAATGGGAAGAGGCACTTCTGCAAAGGGGACCCGGGGTGCTTGGCGTGAGGGCCTGGGCACAGAGGAACAACAAGAAGGTCCCTTAGAATGGGGTGACCTTCCTCCCACTGCCAACCCCTTCGCTTTGTCCCGATATGAGAGCCACCAGCCCATCACCCTATCCTCACAGGCTTGGTCCCAAACAAGCCCTGGAAGCTTCCTCAGGGCCTCAGGGGTATATACAATCTGGGTGCTGGACCCCTCCCCCCTTCTCTGCTCTGCTCTCCAGGTCCCCCTGCCCTGGGGACAGGCACCCAACCAGCCCCCACCTGAGGGTGAGGAATTTCTGAGTCCCCAGGGCCCAGCCTCCTCCGACCCCATCATGGGCTTCCTCCACTCCACCCCTCCACTCCTCAGCCCCCCAGGCCTGACTGCCATCCTCCCCCACGTGCAAGGAGAACTGGGGAATTCACACGCCCCCACACTCCTCCCAGCTCTCACCCACAATTATCAGTGATCAGCATCCCTCGCCAACACAAGGTATCACCACAGACGTTTCTTAATAAAGAGGGGAAAAGGGATCTGCCGCTGGAGGTGTAAGAGGAAACCTCGCCAGCGCCCCCACCATGCCGGAGAGATGGGGGAGGATGGCGGAGAGCCGGGCTCTGCCCGCCGCCAAGCTGGAACCGAGGGATTTCAGGAGTTCTGGAGCCAGACCAGGAGATGCCAGGTGAAGCCACCTTGATTCAGAGTGGAAACTCCCAGGCCGGACAGGAGCCTCCGATCAGATTGGGGTCAGAGTCGGACGGCAGAGCCCCATCTAGGGCCCTACGCGGCTCACATCGGTGAGCAGAGCCCAGGAGCCACCTGTTCCCTCTACGAGGCCCTACCTGAAAAGAGCCTTCAAAGTCCGTCCTATTGCCTCCCCACAAATAACTCTACAGAAACTGCGCCCCCACCTACCCCCACGATCCTGAAGCCCATCAAGCTCCCACCTCACCTCCTCATCTTCACCCCAGTGACCTGATCCCAGCTCCCTGACCTCAGCCCCCAGCTCTCCCGACTCCTCTTTCCAGAATGATCTGGGGGAAAAGCCTTCAGAACCCCAGATCCCCTGAGGACCCACAGCAGAAGCTGTTCCCACGCGGCAAGGAGCGCAACGGGCACCCCCCACGTAGATGAAGCCACGCGGAGAAGCAGGCGCAGAGCAGGTCCCGCCGCCCCCGCGCCCGGCCGCCCGGTGGGGGTGGGGACAACGTGGCCCGCGCCTGGGACGACACTCCGGGCCAGGGCCGCCCCCTCCCCCGCGCTCTAGGCCCCGCGGCCGAAACCGCGCGCGGCTCCTCTCTGACCTCCCGCCGCCAAATGCGTCACGTCTGCCGGGCGCTCTGGGGACACCTGCTGCCGCCCCCGCTGCGCCGAGCCCCGCGCCTCGAGCCGGGGCCTCAGGTCCGGCGATCGTGCCGGACAGGGCCCGGTAGGGCCGCACGCGCCGCTGTCCGGTGGCCAGGCCCCGGGGCCCGGGGGTCGAGGCCGCGCGGGGCCGTGCGCTCCCGGCCCCGAGCCGGGAGCAGCCGGGGGCGCGCGGGGCCGCAGTGCGCCCGGAGCCGGCGGCGCAGAGGGTCTGGGTCGCCAGTATCACCGCCCTCGGAGCGCAGCGCCCTGCGGGGTCCCCGGTCCGGCCCGCACGCGCCGCAGCTCTTACTTGCCAATATCCTCGTAGAGCTGGTACTCGTCGGTGAAGCGGGTGCAAGTCACCGTGGTGGCCATGGCGGCGACGGACGGGCTCGGCGTGCGCTCTGCTGCGCTCGGGCGGCGGCGACTCCGGCTCCCGCTCGCGGGCACGGCGGCGACACGGGCGCGGGCGCGGGCGACACCTCGGCTCGCGGCGCCGAGCGGGGGCCGGGCTGGGCTGCGCCGGGCGGCGAGCGCACGCGAGATCTGCGCGCTCTGTCCCCGCCAGGAGCGCGCCGCACACCTACGCGCGGGGAGCGCGGGCGCCGCTGTCACCGCCGCCGCCGCCGCCGCCGCCGCCGCGCCGGCCCCGCCCGCCGCCCCCTGCACGCGCCCCGCTCCCGCATCCGCGCCCTGCACCCGCACACGCACTTGAGCCCTGCGCCTGCACCTACACCCGCACTGGCGCCCTGCACAGGCTCTCGCACCCACTCTTGCTCCCGGCATTCGTATCCGCGCCCGCGCCCTGCGCTTGCTGCGCTGGCACCCGCACCCGCGCCCAGGCGCCTGGGGCCATGCACACGGGCAACCGCTGGCTCCCTGAGCTGGCTTCTCCGCTGCCTCCTGGCGACTCCCTTGCCGCGCGCACATACACCGGGGACTGCACGCAATGAACCCAGTCCCCTTTCTCCTCTGAAGGCCTGCTTCGACCTGGACCTCAAGAGGGGACGCAGGTGCACATGGGGAGGGGGGAGAGCCCTCCTTCCACAGGCTCATTCCTAACACCCCCACGAGGAGATGCTGCAGGACCCCTCCTGCCCAGCCCGGGTCTCTACCACTCCACACACCACACGGTCCAGGCTCCCTGGCAGAGCCACCCAGGAGCCTCCCAGACCAGGTGTGCACACTGGGGACACTACTAGATGAAAGGGTGGAGGCTGCCTGCTCCACCACAGTCTTAGCCCCTCGCTCTTTCTAGCTCTTGGCTCTGGGGGCTCCAAGCAGAGGTCCCAGGAGCAGACATTTCCTATTCAGAAAGAGGTCCCTGAATCAGGGAACAGTGTGTTTGGTCCGTCAGCATCTCGGGGTCCTGAGAGCTCACAGCCCCCTTGCCCAGATAGAGATACACATTCTTGCTCTCCCAGGCATAGTCCACCTGCCTGCTCCCAGTTCTGGCCTGGAAGAAGATGGTCCATCTTGAGAGTGGCCCTGGAGAGGAGGACAAGTGAGCAGGAGGAGGGGCAGGAGAGGTTGGACTGACCCCATTTCCCACAGAAGAGCCTCTCCCAGGGCCACACTTAGGCGGCCATCTAGAACCAGGACTCCAAATTCAGCAAAGACAATCTACTGGGCTCCACACCCCCACACTCCTCAGAGAGGAGAGGGCCAGAGTGAGTCCTGGGCAGGCCCAGAGGAAACGAAGCTTCCAGCTGCCAGCCCTGGATGTGGGTCGTTCTGCTGCCCTGCTAGGAGCCACTTACTGCACCGCGGGCTCCCCAGGAGTAGGGTCTGGGCCTGTCCTGCTCATCCCTCTCAGCTTCGTGGCCAATCCAGGGCTGGCTCCAGAACCCACAATAAATGTCTCCTGGATAGAAGATCTCATGCAGGGATTAGGGGGCGGGGTGGACCCAGGGCCTCCTTGACCAGGACGTCTTTGGCACACAGCTGTCAGGCAGGTGAGTACTCCAGGTGGTGTCCAGTCCCAGCCCCAACTTGTACCCAAGAGAGGGCTGGAGGTCGAGGAACACTTAGGGGACAAGGCGAGATTGGGACTGGGAGCAGATAGGGCCCCACGGTGGGCGTGGCCTTGACCTCTGCAGGGCAGGGCAGAGGTGAGACCACCTCCAGACCTCAGTGCTGGAACCAGAGTGCCCAGGTGCCTCCCGATGGGCAGCCGCCCACCTCTCGTGGGGCAGCCGGGGGAGGACTGGAGGCCCCTCATGGACTGACAGAGGCTTGCTCTTGGGGTTGTGTTCTGCCCCACAGGGGCCTCTCCCCACACATGCTGGGCCATCTGCAACGCTCTGAGCTCCGGAAGAAGGAGGCAGTCCCACACAATAGAATACAATTAGCAAACAAACCGAACAAAATTGCACCCCTCAGTAAATCAGGCTGTCTCCAGGCTACAAGCAGACCCTGCACGCTGCCAAGGTCACACACGTTCCTTCCAGTGCGAGTCCATGCCAGTGGCATTAAAATCATGATGACAGCAGACAGTGACTTACATATTTGCATTCTACACATATTATCTCATCTAATTCTCAACCAGCCCTAGGAAGCATATACTATTATGATTCCCATGCTACTAGGTGGGACAGCAGAGTGACAGAGAGCTGAATTAACTTGTCCACTGTCACGCAGCCAAGAAGTGGCTGAGGCTCAAACCTTATTTCCCCATTAAGATGCTTCTCTTTTATTTTCACACACACAGATACAAACACACAGTCACACAATACATACCCAACACACACTCAAACGCATGCACAATGTCCTACCACACTGGGCAAGGACACCACAGCACTCTGGGTATTTGTTTTGAGGTCCTTTCCCCTGGGTGGGGAGGCTACCCAAATCAAGTTTACATGAGAAGTCAGAGTCACTAAAAGGGTGTGATTTGAGGCCCCCAGGATGCTCTTGTGAGCACTGGAGGTCAACAGGGCAGCCTCTCCTCTGGGCTGGGACATGAAAGGCTTGACATCAAATGACCCTGAGGGGGGCAGGGATAGCAGGGCCATCAGAACATCACAGTTGAGAAGGAGTGAGCTACCAAAGGGACCCAGATTGTCCCTGCCTATACAGCCCCACCCCTCAACCCCACTCTCCACCTCCAGACCCAGAAGGCTCCTCTCCAGCAGAGTGGAAAAGCTGGAAGGGAGAAGGGCTGCCAGCCAAGACACTTTCAGGAGTACCAGGCCCCAGAAGCCCTCTCATCTGGCTTCGGCCTCCCAACCCTCCTGCAGGAAGGGCCCTCTTCCACCCGCACCCCCACGTCATCTCCACCTCCCACCTCATCCTTTCTAGCTGGCTTTCGTCAGTAAGGAGGGCTCTCCCTCCCAGGTGGCAGCTGGGGCGGGTGTGGGGAAGATCAGTTCTGGGAGGTTATTGTTAGGACGGTCACCATGGCAACAAGCATCACATCTGCAGAGCCAAAAGTGCTGCACATGGGGCTCCTTCTCCCAGGAAAGCCACGGCCTTCCCTATCCCCCTTGCCTCAAGGGATTGCTGTCATGGGAGGGATGCCACTGCTGCCACTTGTCCCAGGCCCAGCCATCTGCCTGGAAGAGCAGGTTGCAGTACCCCAGAGCAGGACGACCCTAGTTCATCAGTCTCCAGTCATCTGGCCCTGACATGGCAGGCCATGCAGGACTTGGTGGCAGGCATGTGGGGAGCGGATGGTAGTGGTGGGGGATGGTGATGGTGATGATAATGATGATAGACAGTGGTGATGATGGTAATGGTAGTGGTGATAGTGGTGATGATGAAAATGATAGTGGTGAAGTTGGTGATGCTGATAATGGTGGTTGTTGTTAAATCGCTCAGGCATGTCCAACTCTTTGCAATCCCATGAACTGCAGCACAGCAGGCTTCCCTGTCCTTCACTATTTCCTGGAGTTTGCTCAAACTCATGTACATTGAGTCGGTGATGCCATCCAACCATCTCATCCTCTGTTGCCCCCTTCTCCTCTTGCCCTCTATCTTTCCCAGCATCAGGGTCTCTTCCAGTGAGTCGGCTCTGCACATCAGGTGGCCAAAGTATTGGAGCTTCAACTTTGGCATCAGTATTTCCAATGAATATTCAGAGTTGATTTTCTTTAGGATTGACTGGTTTGATCTCTTTGCTGTCCAAGGGACTCTCAAGGGTCTTTTTCAGCACCAGAATTCAAAAGCATCAATTCTTCGACCCTCAGACTTCTTTATGGTCCAGCTCTCACATCAGTACATGACTACCAGAAAAATCATAGCTTTGACCATACAGATTTTTGTTGGCAAAGTGATGTCTCTGCTTTTTAATATTCTGTCTAGGTTTGTCATATCTTTTTTTCCAAGGAGCAAGCATCTTTTAATTTTGTGGCTATCTGCAGTGATTTTGGAGCCCAAGAAAATAAAATCTGTCACTGTTTTCACTTTTTCACCATCTATTTGCTATGAAGTGATGGGACCGGATGCCTTGACCTTAATTTTTGAATATTAAGTTTTAAAGATAGTGATAATAATGATGGCGGTAATGTTAATAATGATGGTGGTGATAATGGTGGTGATGGTGACCCTACCATCACATCTGTGTTCCTAGTGGCCAGATAGCAAAAGGGAGGATGGTCTGAGGGCCCTCATCAGTTTTTGGTCACATGACCCTCTCCCTAACAGCCCATTGTCCAGAATCTATCCATGACTTCACTTAGCTGCAAAAGATCCTGGGGAAAAGGTCTTGACCCAGCTGAAATATGGAGATCCATCACTGAAGCAGAGGGGAGAATGCATCCTGGGGACAAGCAGAATTCTCTGCCACCTGGCCTGTGACATGGCCCACCAGTTCTCTGGGTATCACTCCTAAAGAGTCAATGTCTGCAGAGCCCACTGCTATAGAAAGAGCAGGGGCCTGAGTACACGCCAGCTCAGAGGTCTAATTCTGATCCCAACTGAGAGTCCCTGCTTTGTGACAGGAGCTAATATCTAATAGCTGTTAGGATTTACTGTTTTTAACAGATGCAAAATACTCTAAAAGAAAATGTACAGAATTAGGAACAGCCACTTTCAATAGCTGTTTGGCAGTTTCTTATAAAGCTAACCAAATACCTTCCCTATGACCCACTAATTCCTTTCTTAGGTATTTACCCAAAAGAAAAAATGTATATCAAAAGGAAAAAAAGACATTTGTACAGAAATATTTATAGCAACTCTATTCATAGCAGCTGAAACTGGAAGCAACGTAAATGTCCATACACAGGAGAGCAGGTAAACAAATCAGTGTATGTAAATAAGAATCACTACTGATACACTTGACAACATGAGCAAATCTCTCAGAACCAAAGTTGAATAAAAGAAGCCAGATACCAGACGCAAAGAACACATGCTGCAAGATATCATTTCTACAAAAT